TTCAAAGTGTTTTTCTTCATCTCAGAATCCTTATCCAAGCCAAACTCTCAATCTTTGATGAAATTTGATCTTTATTAATTGGACTCTTAAAAACTCAAACTTTTTAGACTTCTTTTATTATACAAAACCCAAATAACATGAAATTTAGATCACACCACAACAAATCTCCACCTTAAAACAAATTCCATCACAAGTAATTCAAAACACATCTCTAAGTAAACACCATTTATCATCTTCCAAACAAGCCCCGATTGACTAAATCAATGACAAACATCCACTAAGTTCAAGCAATGCTCAAACTTAGTAATAGGAAGTGATCTTGTCATCATATCAGCAGAATTATCCTTGATATCAACCTTACTCACTATAATATCACTACGAGCAATCACATCACACACAAAATGATACCTCACATCAATGTGCTTAGTCCTTTTTTGAAACATCTGATCCTTAGTAAAAGAAATTGCACTTTAATTATCACAGAATACTGTAGACACCTCCACGTCTTCACTGATTTCACCAATCAATCCTCTCAGCCACATAGCCTCCTTACATGCCTCTATAATGGTCATGTATTCTGCTTTTGTTGTAGACAAAGCTACTGTATTTTGAAAGTAGCTTTCCAACTGATAGCATAGCTTCCAAAAGTAAACACATACCCTGTAAGTGATCTCCTCTTATTAAGATCCCTTACATAATCTGAATCCACATACCCAATATTCCATCTGAATTTCTACCAAAATGCAAACAAGCATTAGAAGTGCCCCTCAAGTATCCGAAGATCCGCTGCACAGTTTTTCAATGTTCCTTGCTAGGATTTGCCATGTATTTGCTAACTGCACTAACTGTTGTGCCAAATCGGGCTTTGTACAAACCATATTATACATCAGCGAACCAACTATACTAGAATAAGGAACCCGAGATAAGTAATCAATGTCTTTATCTGACTAAGGACACAAGTTAGATGATAATTTGAATTGTCACCCAAAGGGAATACTGACAGCCTTTGCATTCATCATATTGAATCTTTCGAGCACCTTCTCAATGTACCCCTTCTTACTCAATTACAAGCTTCCAGTCTTTCTATCCCTCAAGATTTTCATACCAAGATCTTTTTTGCAATACCCAATCCTTCATATCAAACTCCTTACTAAGTTGAAACTTCACTTTTCTGACTCTGCTTTATCTTTAACTGCTATGAGTATATCATCAACATAAAATAACAAATATGTAGTTGATCCACTATCTTCTTTTCTGAAGTACACACAACTATCATAATTACATCTGAAGAAATCATGAGTAGTCATGAATGAGTCAAACCTCTTATACCACTGCCTCGGTGACTGCTTTAGTCCATACAAGGACTTCTTCAACAGCCACACATAGTCTTCTTTTTCAGAGATTATAAACCCTTCTAGTTGTTGCATGTAGATGCTCTCCTCAAGTTCTCTATGTAAGAATGTTGTCTTGACATCCATCTGTTCAATTTCAAAATCATTCTTAGCCACCACTCCAAGTAAAGCTTGGATGGAACTTTGCTTCACAACTGGTGAGAACACATCTGTAAAGTCAACACCTGGAATCTGACTGTAGCCATATGCCACCAATCTAGCCTTGTATCTAGCATCTTCAATCTCTGATGTTCATTCCTTTCTTTTGAACACCCATTTGCAGAGAACAACCTTTTTACCTCTAGATAATTTCACAAAGTCTCAAGTGTTATTTTTCCTCAATAACTCCATTTCATCATGCATAGCAATCATCAATATGCTAGAATCACTGCAATTGACTGCCTCTAAATATGTAGCAGGCTCCTCAATGGAATCAATATCTTCAGCTGCACTCAATGCATAAGCTACCAAATTTGCTTTCCTATACTTCTGTGGAGGTCTAATTTGTCTGCGAGATCTATCCTTAGCTATAGAATACTGTGGTGTTGGTGGTATAGGCAAAGTAGGCAAGATATTCCTATCCGTTAACCTCGAACTGGACTGATCTGTAGTAGACTGTTTTGTAACCTCTGATTGATCATCTGAACCAATTTCCAACTCCAACTCTAACTAAATTGAATGATTCTGCTCCTTAGTTTTATCAGAATCCCTAAGAGGTAAACCACGAACCATAGCAAGTTCATCAAATACTACATTCCTACTAACAAATACATTTTTTGTCTCAAGGCACCACAATTTATACCCATTCACACATGATTTATACCCAAGAAAGATGTACTTTCTTGACCTAGGCTCCAACTTCCCATTATCCACATGAGCATAAACAGAACACCAAAAAATCTTCACATCAGAATAGCAAAAAGGTTTACTAGACCATACCTCTTCTAGGAGTGAGAGATTAATAAGCTGTAGTAGTAACTTCAACCCAAAAAATCTTAGGCAATCTAAAATTTGAAAACATACTACTAACATTTTCCATCATCCGTTCGGCAACACCATTTTGTTGAGGAGATGCCTTCAGCCCTACAGAAGCTTCTATTGAATTTATCTGAACAAAACTTCAAACCATTATTTGTGCATAGACATTTTACCTGCTTTCCAGTATATTTTGCTACCAATGTTTTCCACTCATTGAAGATCCCAAACACATCACTCTTCTACTTCAAGAAAAATACCCAAACTTTCCTGAAGAAATCATCAATCATTGTTAATAAGTAATAATAGTCTCCTTTTGATGGTACCCTGGCCGGTCTCCTTTTGATGGTACCCTTCATGTCGTGTGTTCATTTCGTGAATCTGACTCTTTTCTGTTTTCCGAAGACACAAAATTTTATTTTGCTGGTCTTCTGCCCATCAAGAAGTCCCCTTCTACTCAACTCCGCCATACTATTCTCATTCATATGCCCGAGCTACATATGCCAACCTTTTGTAACTTCATCATCTGTCAAAGAAGAAGTAGAAACTGCTGCATCCCCAATTACTGTGGAATTATGCAAAATGTATAACTGTGTAGAGCTTTTATGTTCCTTCATAACAACAAGAGCACCCCGACTCACTTTCAAAACTCCACTTTCACCAGTATATCTATAACCTTTTAAGTCAAATGCACTCAAAGATATAAGATTTCGCTTCAGTTTTGGAACATGCCTTACATCTGTAAGTGTCATGATCGTCCTATCGAACATTCTGACCAATTTCGACAATTTTGCAAAGCGCGTTGTTTTCCATAATCACTGCACCTCTCGAAAGTCTTTCATATGTTGAAAAGTAGTCCATATTGGGACACATATGAAAAGAACAAGTCGAGTCTATAACCCATTCCTTACAAGGTTTGGAATTCATGTCAAAAATCATAAAAAGCTCGCCTTCACTTTGCCCATTTTCCACAATATCAGTCTCCACTGTGTTAGCAAGTTCTTCCCTTTCTCAGTAGCACCAACAACTTTATTTATATTTTTCAAAGTATAACAATCAGCTCTAATATCCCATTCTTCTTACAATAGTGACATTGATTTCGCTTCAGTTTTGGAACATGCCTTACATCTATAAGTGTCATGATCGTCCTACCGAACATTCTGACCAATTTCGACAATTTTGCAAAGCGCGTTGTTTTCCATAATCACTGTACCTCTCGAAAGTCTTTCATATGTTGAAAAGCAGTCCATGTTGGGACACATATGAAAAGAACAAGTCGAGTCTATAACCCATTCCTTACAAGGTTTGGAATTTATGTCAAAAATCATAAAAAGCTCGCCTTCACTTTGCCCATTTTCCACAATATCAGTCTTCACTGTGTTAGCAGGTTCTTCCCTTTCTCAGTAGCACCAACAACTTTATTTATATTTTTCAAAGTATAATAATCAGCTCTAATATGCTCATTCTTCTTACAATAGTGACATGTTTTTTTCTCAACATGTCTAGATTTCGATCTACCCCCCATATTTCTACCAAGATTCCTATCATGATTTTTCCCACGTACAATCAAGCTTTCAGCATAATTCTCATATCCTTCAACA